CGCTCCATGTTCAAAGGTGACAGAGAAGAGGCAGAACGAGCATGGGAACGTGAAAAAGAGCAAGCAGAGAGATGGGAAGAAACCAGAAGAGTGGGAGGGCCTGGAATCCACATAGAGAAATGGTATCAAGAGGGTGGAAGGAATTACCAGCTATGCCAATGCTGCCAATGGGTCAAGTCTCATTGAGGATGGAGAACCAAGGATTGTATTTAGCAACATGGAGAACAAGCACACTTTTAGTTTAGTGGTAGGGGCAACATCCTGTTTAGAGTGATCACGAGAAAGAATGGAAGCAGAGGAGTTTGCTACTGTGAGTTTAGAAAAATCTTTCAAATTCTGCTGCAAAGAGAAGCAAAGAAAATATAGTTGAAGGACTTTTTTTTTAATATGGAAGAACACAGCATATGATGTGGTTTGGCTCTGTGTCCCCACCCAAATCTCACTTCAAGTTATAATATTCTCATGTGTCAACGGTGGTACCAGGTAGAGATAATTGAATCACGGAAATGGTTTCCCCCATGCCATTCTCGTGATAGTGAGTGAGCTCTCATGAGATCTGACGGCTTTGTAAGAGGCTTCTCCCTTTACTCAGCACTCATTCTCTCTCCTGCTGCCATGGGAAGAGGTGCCTTCCACCATGATTGTAAGTTTCCTGAGGCCTCCCCAGACATGTGGAACTGTGAGTCAATTAAATGTCTTTTCTTTATAAATTACCCAGTCTCAGGTATTTCTTCAAAGCAGCATGAGAACAGATTAATACAGCATATTTTTATAAATGGGAATGATCCATAAGCTAGTGAAAAGCTAATGATACCGAGGAGAAAGTGACAAATGGTAGGGATAAGGTTCTTGAGTAGAAGAAAATGACTGGGAATTTCTATATGGATGGAGAGATTTCTTTCCACAGGAGCACAGATAATCTATCTCATTATTAGGGCAGGAAGGCAGATGCTGGCAGGTGGGTAGATAGATGTAGCTGTGGGAGTTTGTGGAAGCTCTTCTTGGACTGTGAAATTGGAAACAAGGTCATCAGCTAAGGATTAGGACATAACGGGGTGGAACTGAAGGTTTGAAGGGACAGAAAAGGATGTGAAGTCATTGGGTAGGAAAGTAAATGAATTAGAAAATACAGTGTGGATTAGAAAATATAGTGTGATTGGCAGTAACAATAAAGGCACATTTGAAGTTCACAGCTATAAAATGGAGATAATAATAAAAGTACTTACTATATTAGGCTTTTATGAAAATTAAATGAGTCAGTGTATATAAAGCAATCAGAAAAATGCTTGCCATGTAGTAACACCTTACAGAAGTCCTAAACGTTATTATTAGTAGTTGAAAGGAACAGATTTGCTAATTCAGCAGGAAATTGAGCAGTGGTTAAGATTTCAGTTGAGGTTCATTATTTATCATCAAATGGAAGCCTAATAACAAATAAAATTAATAGCAGTATGACCAGGAGGCAGAATACATTTATCTTGACATGAATGACTTTGAAATATCAGACATCTACTCATCAGCCACCCTGTGTTCCTTGAGGGCAAAGGCTTTTCAGAATCAGTCATTGCAGTATCTTGAGCACTGAGTACAGTGCCTAACACATAGTGAAGTCTCATAAATACTTGTTAAATGACTGAGTAAAATGTCCCTTTGATTACTGAGGTCCCCCAATTAGCTCATGGGCCATTTAGTGAGGTAGTCTCTTTTAAAGGTTTGTATAAAAGATGATTATTGGGATATCTTCCTGGCCCCTGCTTAAGGAACCAGCCATCTACTCGGTCCCAGTGTGCTCTTCCAGGAGTCATATTTGGAGACCTTGACCCAGCCCCACTGCAACTGACTGGCTCATGTGCAACCACCTGACCTGTATGAATCTGCTCTGGTTGTCACGGCAAAATACCACAGGTTGGGCAGCTTAAACAACAGAAATTTATTTTCTCACAGTTCTGGATATTAGAAGTCCAAGATCAAGATGCCATCATAATTAGTTTTCGTAAGACCTCCTTTCCTGGCTTGTTGACTGACACCTTGCCATGTCCTCACATTGCTTTCCTCTATGCGTGTGGAGGGAGAGCTCTTGGGTGTCTCCTCCTCTTACTATAAGGATACCAACCCCATCTATCCTAAAGGACCCATCTTTAAAAACGTCACCTTGGAAGTTAAACCTTCAATATATGGTTGTGGGGAGTTGAGGGGTCCACAATCCGCTCTTAACGTAATCCAAGTGGATCAGATTTCCTTTCACTCATTTTGGAATTGATGCTAAGAAATGTCTATTTCTGACTGAGCTGGTCTAAGCTGGACTAATGATGTAAAGTATTAGGAAGTGGGATGAAACCATGGTTTCCTCCAGATGGAATGGAAAGCAGAGAAGGACAGTTTACAGAAAAATAGAGACAGATAGAAGTAAGAATAAAGGACAGGTAGAGTAAAAAACAATGAGTCTAGTTTCCACTCGGTATCCACAATAATTGCTAAAATGAAAACACAGGCAATATCAACTGTTAGTGATGCACTGCTGGTGGGAATACAAAATGGTACAACTGCTTTGGAAAACAATTTGGCAATTTCCTGTAAAATTAAACACGCATTTATCATATGACCAAACAATACTACTCCTCATATATTCCATATATGGACGAAGAAACACGTCATTGGATATTTACAGAACTATGATTGTTAACAGTCTCAAACTGGAAACAACCCAACTGTCCATCAATAGTAGGATGGACAAATAAACTGTGGTATATTCACACAATGGAATACTCTGTAACAGTGAGAATGAGTAAATTACTGCTATATACAGAAACATGGATGAATCTCACAAGTAAAATATTGAACGAAAGAAGCCAATGTAAAAATAGGTGAAATTAATCCATGCTGTTAGATGTCACGATAGTAGTTAGTATTGGGGACAGTGAGTGAAAGCAGGGATAAGCAGGACTTCTGAGATGTGACAACATTCTGTTTCTTGGTCTGATACCAATTATGTGTGTTTAGTTTGTGAAAACTCATCAACCTGCACAGTTGGAATATGTGCAGTTTTCTGTGTGTATAGTTCAATAAAAAGTTTTAAGCACATAAAATTTCATTAAAAATTTAAAAATGAGTGTAGGTACAGAGAGATGAGTGCCTGCTAATGTCAACAGCATTCCTTACAGAATGAGAATTTTCACCCTGATCCAAAAAAATTTTTCTTGGACTTAAGAAATCTTGAGTGAATTTCTCTAGGCTGGGGGAACAGTCAGTGATTCCTAAGCGCCTTCTACCAGAGGGGAGCCTTTCACACTGACAAAGATAGGGGTCCAAAACTCTCACCTTCCCTTCCCCATGCCTGGTCCTGGCCATCTCAAAAAGTGAATGCAATTTGGGAAAAATAGCTAATGCATGCCAGGCTTAATACCTAGGTGATGGGTGGATAGGTGCAGCAAACCACCATGACACATGTTTAGCTACGTGACAAACCTGCACACATATCCCAGAACTTAAAGAAAAAAAAAGTGGATACATTTGTTCTCTGCATAAAGTTAAGTAGATTATCTTCTACTTTTCAATCTCTAGTCTTCCATCAAGATCGAACCTCAAGATTTATCAAATTCTGCCAAGAATCTTGAGTTCTTTGAGGAAAGGTGCCCTGTATGTATAAATTACTAGTGTTCTTCCTGTCTAACAAGTCACTCCAAAACAGAGGCAGGATCTAGGGTTGCAGACGTTTTAGTTTCAACTAACCCATCAAATCCTCTACCTCCCCATACAGGAAGCAGCTTTGCTCAGATGCCTGGCATGTGGGAGGGAATGCTTGTGGCCAGGACGTCAGCCAGCACAGTCTCAGGACACACAATCTGAGATGTTTCCGAGTCAGCCCAGACACTGGACTGCAGTCAAAGCTGCACTTCAGAAGTATGGTTATTTATCCTCCAGCTCATTACCCTGGATGGTTTCATAAAAAAATTAAAAAAAAATAGAAACTGACCCAGTGTCCAGTTCTTCCCACATGATTGCAAGAGAACAGACCTCCAGCCCATGAAGCAGAGGTGGCAGGGCAATGAGGCGCTTGCAGCCGAGGAAAGATCAGAGCCTTGGTGCTGAGCCCTAAACCTCTCCAGACGGTTTGGCTGCCCACATCTAATCCAAACACAGATAACTCAAGTAGCATCTTCTCTGGACAGGCTCAGATTTGTCCAACCTCATCCAATACAGTAAATAATCACTGTGAAGCCAAAGTTATGGAAGTTCGACTCTATCTGTTCTCCATGCATCTTGTATGACTATTTCCCATCTGCTCTTTCTTCTTTCCTAGAATGGATGACCCCACTTGCCTTCAACCATGATGACTAAAACTCAAAGTCTGTGTCTTATTGGACATAAATTTGGCTTCAGTAGCATCTTTCTGCCTCTGTGTGGATTATATGTCTCCAGATTTCCTTGTACTGTCTGGAAGACAGAGGGAGACTTGAGACTGGGTACTTCTGGAAAGTTCACTTAATGTCATGAAAGAGTGAGAAGTTTATCCATTTACTCAACAAATACTTATTCTCTGCCATCAACCACTCTATGTACTGAGACTACAGTCATGAACAAGACAGAAAATGAACAAGTAAACAGTAAATTTTAAAAGATAATTCCAGATATTGATAACAGCCATACAAAAAAAGGAAACAACGAGATAAAGAGTCACTAGGGTGGGGTTAGCTGCTTTGACAGGTGGTTGGAAAAGACCTCTCTAGGGAATAACCCCGTTTAAACTGAGACTTGAACAACAAAAAGATGTGCGGTGGCTCACGCCTGTAATCCCAGCCCCTTGGGAGGCTGAGGTGGGCGGATCACCTGTCAGGAGTTCGAGACCAGCCTGATCAACATGGAGAAACCCCGTCTCTATTAAAATACAAAATTAGCCTGGCATGGTGGCACTCACCTGTAATCCCAGCTACTCAGAGGGGCTGAGGCAGGAGAATTGCTTGAACACAGGAGGCGGAGGTTGTGGTGAGCCAAGATTGCAACATTGCACTCCAGCCTGGGCAATGAGAGCAAAAATCCGCCTAAAAAAAAACAATGCATCCAGCAAAGATCTGGGGGAACGGCATTCCAGGAAGAAGGAACAGCAAATGCAAAGGCTTTAAGCAAAGGCAGGGACAGGCTTGACATGTTTAAGAAAAAGATCAATGTGCCTGAAGTGAAGAACAGAGTGATTTGAGATGAGGCCAAGGAGGTCTGCAGGGCCCAGATCACGTAAGATTGCAGCCTATAAGAAATAAAACTTGTCTGCCTGATGTGGACAATCATTCAAATGCATCGGAGAAAATACAGTATTGACTATGAGAGATGGTGTATAGCATAATGATTAGGGGCTCAGGCTCTGCAAATAGATCTCTTTTGGGATATATCCCTGCTCTGCCACTGTGCTGTGTGAGCTTTGGCAAGTGGCTTAGCTTCTCTGGGCTGTTACTGGTGAAAGAGATCTGAGTTACCCCACATGACCAGCAGTGAATCCATATGCGTCCACAGCAACTTCAGTCCTTGCCTACTCCAAAGAAAGAATTCGGCTGAGGAGCATAAAGCAGAAAAAGAGACCCAGGCAAGCTTCAGAACAGGAGTGAAAGTTCACTAAAAAGGCTTTAGAACAGGAAAGAAAGGAAAATTTGCTTGAAAGAGACCAAAGTAGGCACCTGAAGGTCGAAGAGAGAAAAGAGAGCAAAAGAAGACAGCAAAAAAAAAAAGGGCCTTTAACCTTGCTTTTAGGCTCACCTCTTTCCCATGATCCTTCTCTCAGCGTGGACTTTCCGCATGCCCGGTGCTTTCCTTACCCTTGGGAATTGAGCACCTGCAGGTGTAGGGAATTATCCACGTGCCTATCTGAAGCTTTCTTCCCTTTTCTGGTGGCGTGTGCCTCCGAAAGATCACAGGTGACCGTTTTTGTCTCTTAACACGCATGCCCAGGAAGCTGCTTCTCCCTGGAGACTGCATTCAATTAACATTTTGATGTTAACAGGTGTGGAGCTTCAGGAAATGGCCTCTCAGTGGTGCTGCCAAATTGTCATTTTTAGAGCGGCAATGAGATAAGTCCCACCATCACCTAACATTTCTAGTGGGTGGGAGGGCCCTGTCCTGCCCCACTCATGCCTAACTACCAGTAACAAGGTCTCGACTTGTTCATCTTTTAAGTTGGACATAACAATAGTTCCTACCTTGTAGACACTATTTTGTTTTAAGGATTAAATAAATTTATTTATAGAGAGAGCTTAGAACAACTCCTGGCATATAGTAGTGCTTGAGTTTTATTTGATTAATTGTTGCTGTTGTGATTGTTGTTATAGATGTATTATTAAGGAGAAAAGAACTTTCAATGAATTCTTTACTATGTTAAATGTATTTATTTATTTATTTTTGAGATAGAGTTTTGCTCTTGTTGCCCAGACTGAAGTGCAATGGTGCGATCTTGGCTCACCACAACCTCCTCCTCCCAGGTTGAAGCAATTCTCCTGCCTCAGCCTCCCAAGTAGCTGAGATTAGAGGCACGTGCCACCACACCCAGCTAACTTTGTATTATTAGTAGAGATGGGGTTTCTCCATGTTGGTCAGGCTGGTCTTGAACTCATGACCTCAGGTGATCCACACGCTTTGGCCTCCCAAAATGCTGGGATTATAGGCATGTGCCACCACACCCGGCCCAGTATGTGAAATTAAATTCCAAAAATGATTAGCAGAATAACATCATCATAGACTGCATTATCTGTCCTTAATTCTTCCTTCCTTTCCTTCTCTTACCAATCTTCTGTATTAGTTTGCTAGAGTGACCTAAACAAAATACATTTATTTTTCACAGCTTTATAGGCTGAAGTCTGATATCAAGGTGTTGGGGGGGTTGGTTCCTCCTGTGGGCTGTGAGAGAAGAATCCAGGCCTCTCTCTCTGACTTGTACATGGCCATCTCCTCCTTAAGTCTTCACATGGTCTTCCCTTTCTGTCTCTATGTCCAAATTACTTCCTTTTATAAGGACACCAGTCATGTTGGATTAGGGACTACTTTGATAACATCTTTTTAAGTTGATTATCTCTGTGAAGATTCTGTCTCCAAACAAGGTCATAGCACGAGGTACTAGGCGTAAGGACTTCAGCATGTGAAGTTGATGGGACACAATTCAACAGTTTCCCTTGATGGAGTATACTTCCTTATCCCACTGCCTGTGGGCTTCGTCACAGCTGGCTTTGGCCAGCTGTGGGAATGTGAGCAGAAGTGACACACTCCCGTTCCAGGAAGACAGCTTAAGAGATATCGCATGTCTTCACTTGCCCCTCTTAATTTTGGGATCTCTGCTAAGAGAAAGCTACGGTCCAGGTCATGTTGGTGTTTGTGATCAATCTCAGAAGGAAGATACATGGAGCAGACCTGAATCTAACTTAAAGTCTTGGGTACAGCCTAAGCATGCTGACCCACACCTGGCCTATGATCAACCTGCAAATCAGTTGGCAAGAAGTAAACATTGGTTGTTATAAGCTATTGAGAGTCTGGGGGTTGTCATGCAGTATTATAATAGTGAAAACTGGCTATTACAAAACTTAAAGTTTTTAAAACATTTACACTCAGAATGTAATAATCAACTGTCTATGTTTTCACACCTCCATTCTTCCAGTCTTGATCCTGATGCCTACGTACGATTTAGTGCTATTTAATTACATGTCATTATCATTTTGTCTGTTAACACCATGTCAGACGCTTTCATGCTGCTACGCAGTTGTCATAACAGTCAAATTTCTTATTTATAAGACACCTCTCCATCTGCTCTTCTTGGGGAGCACCTGTGAACTCAGGCCATCCCTATCATAGTTTGCTCAGTCCTGAGGATTTTTACGGCTTCCAGATTGTTGCAATTACACACATCCTCATGGGACGCTGAACACAACAGGAAGTGTCCAGACTGCCTGCAGGCCTGCCTGCTGCCTACCATGAGGCCTCCAGGATGACCTAGTCTTGGTGAACCTGCCACTGGTCAGTGAGTGGTCTTTAGACTTGCTGACTTTCAAGAACTCAAATAGGTCGGTGCTCCAAGATGAACAGATGCAGGAAGACAGTGATGTAAACTAAACCTGGACGTTTTCGGCAGAGAGAATCTCCCTACGCCAAGGACTGGATGACTCCTATCCCACGACCAGGGCTTCTACTTTCCCAATATTGATGTCCTTCAACAATTACGTTTGTTGTAAGATTGGCAAATTTGGAATCAGAAGAAGAAGGAAATGAAAACCACTGAGGGCTCTCTGAGAGGGAGATCTAATGAGTGACAGTGCAGTGTGGTGCTGGAGACCCAGGTCTTTCCTTGGGCCTGTGCTGGACACCTGTTGAGTCTCTTACTCTCTGATGCCTTGGCGTTTCTACGTTGTTTCCAGAGGAATCAGAGTGCTTCAGCTGGTGGAGTTGGGGTGAATTCCCCTTATCAAATTGCTTCTGTGTACCTTAAATATGATTGCCACCACTTGAGATATTACATTTGAGCTCATCTAAAGTAATAACACACTTGAAGAAATAATCTCAGCACTGTGGGAGGCTGAAGTGGATGAGCTCAGGAGTTCAAGACCAGCCTGAGTAACATGGTGAAACCTCATCTCTACAAAACATAACAAAAATTAGCTGGGCAGGATGGTGTGCACCTGTAGTCCCAGCTACTCAAGAGGCTGAGGTTGGGAGATCACTTGAGCCCTGGAGGTCAAGGCTGTGGTGAGCCAAGATCGTGCCACTGCACTCCAGCCTGGGTGACAGAATGTGATTCTGCCTCAGAAAAAAAAAAAAAAAAGAAGGAAAAACTGAGTGAACAGAATGATGAGGCACAGGAAGAAAATATATTAATAAAGGCTCCCAGTGATAAATAAAACAAAGCAAAAGGAGGAAAAGGATGAAGCAATAAAGAGGATTGTCTTAGCCAGTTTGAGCTGCTCTAACAAAGTACCATAGACTGAGTGATATATAAACAACAGAAACTTATTTCTCACAGTTCTGGAGGGGAGAAATCCAGTATCAGGGTGCCAGCATCGTGAGGTTCTGATGAAAGTCCTCCTCCAGGTTGGAGACTGCTCACTTCTAATTAGTCCATTTTCACACTGCCAATAAAGACAAACCCAAGACTGGGCAATTTAAAAAAGGAAGAGGTTTATTGGACTTACAGTTCCACATGGCTGGGGAGGCCTCACAATCATGGTAGAAGACAAGGAGGAGCAAGTCACATCTTACATGGATGGCAGCAGGCAAAGAGAGAGCTTGTGCACAGAAACCCCCATTTTCAAAACCATCAGATCTCATGAGACCCATTCCCTAATCCAAGAACAGCACAGGAAAGACCTGCCCTCATGATTCAATCATCTCCCATTGGGTCCCTCTCACAACATGTGGGAATTATGGGAGCTACAAGATGAGATTTGGGTGGGGACACAGAGCCAAGCCATATCACCTCATAAGGCAGACAGAGGACAAGAAAACTCTCTGGGGTCTCTTTTATAAAAGCCTATTCATGAGAGCTTGATTCTCATGACCTAAGTACCTCCCAAAGGCCCTGCCTCCAAATATCATCACACTGAGGGTTAGAATTTCAACATAAGAATTTGAAAGAGACACAGTCCATTGTGAAAATGAAGAAGAAAGAAGAAAAGTGGAACAAGAGAGAGGAGAATGAGGGAAGAGAAGTTATTAGAGAGGTAGAGACATATCTTCCAATATGAGTTGGCTTCATAAGTTGGTTTTAGAGAATGGTCCACGCCTTCACGAGGTCACCTGTGGTGTTGGTTCCAAACTTTGCATATTCAGAAATCTAATTTTGTTGAAACACTTGGAGATAATCATGGGCTGGGAAATTGGCTCTTACTGTCTTAGTGTGTGTTATGCTGTCACAACAGAATACCACACAATGGGTAATTAATATTGAGCAGAAATTTATTGGCTCATGATTCTGGAGACTGGGAAGTCCAAGTCCAAGGCTTGGCATCTGCCAAAGGCTTTCTTGCTGTATCATCCCAGATAGAAAAGCAAAAAGAGTGGGGGAGCAAGAGAGAGAACAAGAGGGGCCAAACTTGTCCTTTTATAGGGAAACTCCTCCTGAGATAATAGCATTAATCCATGCTTGAGGGTGGTGTCCCCATATCCCAAACACCTTCCATTAGGCCCTGCCTCCCAACAGTACCACATTGGGGACCAAGTCTTCCACGCATGGACTTTGGGAGACACATTCAAACCATAGCACTAATCAAACTCAAAGGACATTGATAAACTCCAGAATGCTGCTTCATTATCTTAAAGATAACACCCTTTTCCAGTATTTGCAGACTGATATCTCCCCCCTGAACTCTCTGTTCCTGGACTTAGATTACATTACTAGTGTATTAGTTTGTTTTCATGCTGCTGATAAGGACATATCCAAGACTGGGAAGAAAAAGAGGTTTAATTGGACTTACGGTTCCACATGGCTGGGGAGGCCTCAGAATCATGGCGGGAGTCCAAAGGTACTTCTTTCTTTCTTTTTTTTTTTTTTTTTCTTTTTTTTAAGACAGAGTCTCACCCTTGTCAGCCAGGCTGGAGTGCAATGGCTCCATCTTGGCTCACTCACTGCAACCTCTGCCTCCCAGTAAGTCTCCTGCCTCAGCTTCCTGAGTAGCTGGGATTACAGGCGTGTGCCACCACACCTGGCTAATTTTTATACTTTTAGTAGAGACAGGGTTTCACCATGTTGGCCAGGCTGGTCTCAAACGCCTAACCGCAGGTGATCCACACACCTCGGCCTCCCGAAGTGCTGGGATTACAGGCATGAGCCACCATACCTGGCCCCAAAGGCACTTCTTACATGGCAGCACAAAGAGAAAACGAGGAAGTCACAAAAGTGGAAACCCCTGATAAACCCATCAGATCTCTTGGGACTTATTCACTATCATGAGAATAGCATGGGAAAGGCTGGTCCCCATGATTCAATTACCTCCTCCTGGGTCCCTCCCCAACATGTGGGAATTCTGGGAGATATAATTCAAGTCGAGATTTGGGTGGGAACACAGCCAAACCATTTGATCACCTAGAATCAAATCAGAGCCCTGATGAGTCCTGTGGTCCATTTTGACAACCCAGTGGAAGAACTCAGACTCAGCTTTCCTTTTGGCTAAAATTTTCATTTCTACTTGTGACTTTCCTTGAGGTATTATAATTATGTCAATTTTTCAGAGGTTTATAGATACTGAGGAACTTACAAGGATTCAGACTTGTTTCACTGACTGCAGGTTCTGAAGACATTCGTCACACTGTGGACACTTGACACAGCCGCCCTCCCTACTACTAGATGCCACCACTTTGCTCAGGGAAGTGGGCAGTTCTTGCCATTGCTCTCCAGATCAATTTCCACCATCTTCGTGCTTTGCACTTCTGGGTTTGGCTTTGGGTGCATCTTAGTAATTGAGCTTAAGTGATTTGTTGGAGTTTTCAGAATGATCTGGGGATTACCACGCGGTAAGCAGGAAAATTCATAACCATTGACCCTGGCCTGATACACAAGGCATGTCCAAGCAGAACTATTATTCAGGTGAAACTCAACAATACAGCTAAACTAGCTGTTAAAATATTGAAATGCTTCTATATTGGTTGGTAGGCCATCACTAACCCCAGTTGCTAAGATCCCCACCACCATCCAGGAAACCTCAGTTCTCTCCTAAGACACCCTGGACCACTCCTCCCTTAATTTGGTAATTAAAGAGTTGATGGCACAGCATGGAGCCTTTGGGGGCCCTCCTCCAGCCACTAGGGCAGAAAGTCGTTGTGACTGGCTCTCCCACTGTGTGTGGGATTCCCGCTGCACCAGGTAACGGTATCTCTCAAGGGCACAGAGAGATACTGTGCTGTTACAACAGAATACCACACACTGGGTGATGTATAACGAGCAGAAATTTATTGGCTCATGATTCTGGAGGCTGGGAAGTTCAAGTCCAAGGGTTGACATCTGGCGACCCTGGGAAAAGGAGCTATGGTTCTGACCTACATCATGCCAGATCCCATCCATCATGCCCCCAAACGAAGGTGCTTTTCCTTCAGTCCAGCATCAGTGCCTGCTTCTCAGGCCTACATCAAATGCTTCAATAAGTCATTGCCATCTAGAAGTGAAATCTAATGGGGGAATAGGTCACAGACAGGACATGGGGCATGGCTGCTACAAGGAAAGCATGGTCCACTGGTTTGCAATTGATTTGTGTTCTAGATCCAGACCCCAGTACCTATAAAACCGTACCAAGAGCCCACAGGAAAAAAAAGCTCAATGTTTTCATTCTTGCTGGATCCATTCACACACAGACTTATGTAGGGAGGAACTGCAGGATATTTTCCATTCTGCATACAATTTTCCAGCATAATCAGATGGACAAAAATGTATTTAATTCAATAAGGAAATCAGTTTGTCACAGAAAACTTCTGTGGGAGGAGAAAAGACAAACCACAGGGAAGAAGATAAACTCCCAAGTTCACAAGGGAATTGTAGTTCCAGCATGCCTTCTCCTGTGGGCCATCTCAAACACACAGTGGTCAGAGGGTTTTCCAGGACCCCTGCCCACACTCCATCACTGAAGTGTGGTCCAGTGGCCAGGAGGGCTCAGGGGAGACAGGACTTACCCTGGCATGAGACCTCCAACCTGTGTATTCATAAGAAGACTATTTGTGGTCTGAGTTAAGCAATAGAACAATCTCAACCTCAGAGCTTTAAAAAAATAAAAAAAAAATCAGTTCCTGCCAGTTCATGTGGGTTTAGCTGTAGTCTTAAGGCCTCTGGCTCTATTCCTTCTGTGTAAGAGAGGTGTTAAAGGAGTAAGTGTGTATGTAGGTGTGCGTGTGTGCACGCACACACACTGAAATAAAAGAGAGAGGAAAGATGGGAGAATAAGAATATGGAAAACAGAACTAGCAGCATTTTAAACAGATGGAGGGAACTGAGGCGATGGATCAGAGCTGAGCATTCAGCACTGGCAAGCCACTGTGTAACGGAGATCTACACACTTGATGGTAATCAGGGAGCTATAGCAATCCAGCCAGGGGCTTAGCAAAGGATCCTGGAAGATTCTGCATTGGCCACTCTTTTGCCACTTTTCTGTCTAAGTTAGACAAGATGATCTCCAACTAACACCTTACATTCCCTGACAAGCTGGTGACAGCCAGCATTGCTTTCTAGACTTTAAATATTTAACTTTTACAGCTGAGCATGATGACTCATGCCTGTAATTCCAGCACTTTGGGAGGCTGAGGCAGGCAGATCACTTTAGGTCAGGAGTTCAAGACCAGCCTGGCCAACAAGGAGAAACACTGTCTCTACTAAAAGCACAAAAATCAACCGGGCCTGGTGGTATGTGCCTATAATCCCAGCTACCGGAGAGGCTGAGGCAAGAGAATCACTTAAGCCTGGGAGGCAGAGGTTGCAGTGAGCCGAGATCATACCACTGCACTCCAGCCTGGGCAACAAGAGTGAGACTCCATCTAAAAAAATAAATAAATGAATTTCATATATATATATATATAACTTTTACCTTTCTGCAGTTTTGGTATTTGTCAGATTCTACATTCATGGAAGGACCTAAGCAATCCTGCTGGTGCTGAGATGTTGAGCAAATTCCAGAACGAGGGTTCTTGGCTGGCGGGTGAAGGTCACAGGATGCCAGGAGCCACAGAGAGGAAGAGCAGACTCCCAGGGCGCCCAAAGACAAAAGACTGCCACACTGGGAGCAAAGGTGGCATAGACTCCTTCATTGTCACCTGCTAATGTTCTAGGATAACATGCTGACGGGAAGGGAGTGGGAAACGGAATGGGAGAAGGGTTTATTGGCTTCAACAGCTTTCAGCTGGATTTGTGATGTCTCCTTGACATGGTAAAATGGTGAGAAGTCATTTAAGCATCCCAAGGTTCTGTGAGGCAGCCTCATCTCTGACTTAGAGGAATTTTTTAATACCGGTGACATTCATATGTTATAAAAGAATTATCTCTCTCTGAGCAAAGGGTAGATTGTATTTTTAAAAATACAACTTCTTTCATTGGACATAGTCTTCTATAACAGGGGCTGGCAAGCTCTGGCCTGTGAATGAGCTGCCTGTTTTTAGAATTAAAGTTTTTTTATTTGTCCAGGCTGGCCATGGAACATGGCTATGCCCATTTTGTCTATGGCTGCTTTCACGCTGTAACAGCAGAGTTGAATAGTCGCAAGAGACTGTATGACATGCCAGTCTAAAATATTCACTATCCTTCTCTTTAAGAAACAGTTTGCCAAACTCTTTTCTGAGCCTTGCCACTTCCCACCTTCAACAAGAAATGGGGGTGGGGAGGTTGTTTATGTTCCCTTGCATCGGACCAGGGTGGAACTTTGTGACTGCCTCAACCAATAGACTATGCAGAGTGATGCTATGTGGCTTCTGAGGTTGGATCATAAAAGATCTTAATGTTCCACCTTGCTCTTGAGACACTGGCTTCTGGAGCCAAGCTTCCAAGCTGGATTGCAGGCTGGGATTTCTAATGTAGGGCAATGATAGGATAATCACATTGTTAGAACGAGCCAACCTCCTGAATAGCATTGTTAGGAATCTCCTGGACTCCTGTTCTCTCTCTTATCTGCAAAGTGGGTTCTTCTGATCAACCAGAAATCAGTCAGTCAACCGATATGGCACTTACCTTCACTCAGCAATGTGTTGGCAGAAGCAACAATGTTTGCTAACAGAAGACGGAATCCCTTCCCTCAAGGAGTTCACCAGCTGGCTGAGAAGATAAGGCTAATGCAAGTGAAACATTGTTACAAAATAATATACAATGTCGATTATTCATATTATTACATAAAATAGAATATATTCTTGTGATTATAATGACTACTAATAAAATGTAACTTTCTAATATTGTATAGCCTTTTGGTGTTTAATGGGTATTTTCAGACACTTTGCCTCATTTTTCCTCTCCCAATAAAGTACATAGTAATTTTTACCCACATAATGATGGGTAAAAATGTGAAACTGTGGCAGAAAGCTTGTAAAAGGAGATGGGGGCTCGAGCTGAGCCTTGTAGATGGGCCACCCTGGAGATGGAGGTGGAATGAGAAAAAGGCAGGCTGCGGCAGGTGGAGCCGGAGGCAGGTCTGAAGGCAGATGGCTTGTGGCGTCATGTGGTCACCAGCCTAAGTGGAGCGGCAGTTGAGAGCAGAGAATCGGGACTGCTGGGCTCCCAGCTACTTTAACAGAAGAAGCATCTACGTGACCTGAATTTCTTAAAAATCTGGACATCGGCCTTCTGAACCATCTCCCATATTGAACCAGTTACATGGAAATTCAGCTACCGGTTCCTCCCTATACCCCAGATTTCATTGCTGTCTGCCTGCACCACGATCTCAGTGTTTCAGCATTTCAGCAGCTCCATATTACATATTTCCTGTCCCAGAGTTGATCATAGTCAATGAGCATAACTATTGCTGGAGAGGAAAAGCTACTGTCTGCCCCTATCTAACCTAGGTTCCCTGCCCTATCTGTACCACCCACTGCCTCCTTCCCTACTCCTGCAGTCATTCTTCCAGGCAGCGGTGTCAGACCCATCCCTGGAAGACAACTTTACCCTGCACTCTGAGAAAGCAGGGCCAGGCAGGGCCTGCTGTTATAACACTGCCATGTACTTCCGGAGAAGTGAAATGCTTATTTCATCTTCTACATTTCTCAGCCCTTTCCTCTACCTAGCCCCGTTCAGCCACTAGAATTCCAGGCCAACCATCAGCAGGCCAACTCCCACCCAGCCACGGGAACTGGGTGTCAGCAGCTTTTCAGTGACCACCAGGTGATTCCTAGCAGTCTTGCTGCTCGCTCCCTGGTATTGATGTGAGCCCTGGGCATCTGAGTACCACCCTTGCCTCTGCGGGGCTTCCTCCATCAATGAGACTCCATGGTGTGCCTCAGCCTCAGGTCCTGATCTCCACTCCAGCTTCCCCAAAACCCACCCATTTGTCTGGGGCCATCTGCCTAGTCCTTCCCTGTCTCCTCTCTACCCCTTCCACGCTTTCTATCATTAGAATGCACATATGATGGTGTGCTACTCCCTAGATCGCAGATCAAATGAAGGGAATCAAGAAAAGAATAAAGCCAGTCACTGAGAATGAAGTCACAGATTTAAAAGATGATTTTCTGTCTGGAAGGAATCATAGGGTTTTCCCCCACAGGGCAGCTTTTAATTTAAATTACTTCCAATCCATAGCAAGACTCGCCTTTATCCGTGATCGGTCAGTTCCCAGGATGGCCCATGGCAAGGTCTGTGCAGCCAAAGGGTTGAACTGTCTTGGGAAGCCAAGTGGACAGCTGAGAGCACTCAGAGACGTGCCCTTAGTCACGGACATGCTGTGGCCAGGAGCTGGCATGCTACCTCTTCACCCCGAGAACTGGGGACAATTCCAGAGGATGCACTCTGTGGAAAGGCACATGGGTCCTAATTCTGAAGGGCGGTGGTCCGGGCACAATTGGAAGCCACTTGATTTGAAGACTTAAGATTTATTTAGAGTCTGTTTCAGCTGATTTAAGTTGGTTCCTTCATGCATTTAGCAATTGACTCCTTCTTAGAATGCTCTGGAAAATGAAGTCTCTTATAGGGCCCGCTGAGCTTCCGGCTCAGGTCCATGGCCTGTTGTTTACACGCTTTCTAGAATCAAATGAAGAGTTTCCAGCAAGGGGCAATGGCATTTGTGTAAAATGGCTTAGGTAAAGGTCACTGACTCAGGCACACCCTTCTGTGGCGTTTCTCCAGGTACAAGGTTTGGTTATGTCTTAAAAAAACTCGTTGTACCTGACCCTTCCATTATTAAGGGGAAAGAAGGAGAAAGTCAGTGAGCCTAAAGACCTCAGCCTTTCCCTGGATCTGCAGGGATTTTCACTCTTGGCATCTCAGTTTCTTCGTGTATGAAGACGATGTGAAATTACCTACCCAATAGGGATCTTCGGAGGGTCAAATGACAAACCCGGATGAAAGATCTTTGTAAGCTGCAAGCTGCTAAAGAAAAGGAAGATTATTAAAACCAGTTTCCCTCCTCTCAGATTCTCCCTCCTCCTTCCACACACGCTAAACTCAGAATTTGCTGTTAAAGTTACAGAATACCAAACCTAGAAATGTTTTATCTTATTCCAGCAAATAAGTTTATATTTCATCCAAAAACCAACCGAGGATTAGACCAAGAGCTCAGGCTAAATGAGTCACACATTTGGCAGGCTTTGCCTCTACTGCTTTGACAAGTGTGCACGGAGGCAGGGGTGTGTGTGCACGAACACCCGCATGCACCCTTAAATGCTAGGGGTAACCACTCACTAGGGTCACTCTAGCCGATGGCATTTTAAAACTTGAAGGACTCTGCAAATGTGTCCCTTCAAGACATTCATTCAAGGAACATGCATACTACACTCATCTTTCTACTCACTCTCTTTCCCATGGACACTCAACAAACAGCTGCTGGTGGAAGGGTGTACAATGGGCTTGGGTGCTACTTCTGGACCCAGTTTGTTGGATCCTTGTGTTTTTATTGCACTTAGGGTTTCCATTACTTTACCTGTTTTCCTTCATGTGCATTTTCCTTGTTACTAAGTTGGCAATAGCTCTGAGGCCCTCACAAAGCTGACTGCCATAGCACACCTGCTGCCGCGCCAGCAAACCTCAGTTTGGTTTATGTCAGGTCTCTTCCCCTCACACTTCCAACGTCGACCCTTTCACTGCAGGGCAGCACTCCCTGCCCCCAAGACAAATGGGCTGATTTGAGATAAGGAGGAATAATCGTAAAATCATAAAAATATGCTTGGGATCTTGAATTGAAATTCCTCCATTGCTTCCTCTCTTTTGTGTTAGGGAAAGATATTCTGGAAAAATGAACTTGCATGGGAGGAGGCGAATGGCTGGGTAAGGGGAGGCGGGGCGTGGCCCTGACAGCTCTGATCAGACGAATTTCCACCAGCTCTTCCTCCAGAACTCCAACTACTTCCGGTCAGCAACACGACCCAAAGATCCAGGCTGACGTGTCTAGTGGGTGTTGAGAGAGAGTTATGCCCTGCATGAAGTAACTTCAACGCACAGCCACAAATCCTATGCTCTCTGCTCATTCCTTATGCTTACCTTGATGGTGTCAGATTGGGAGGGGCAGAGGTCAAGGAACCAAATGACAATTTGGTGAAGTCCACAAAAAGGGCACAGCTCAACAATTTAAGAGAGCTAAGGTGAGTTCAAGACATAATGTTTTCCAACAGCGTTTGTGATCAAATGATTACTTTTTGAATATATAAGTTATTCCTGGAAGAGTCATTAGCAATCCTCCCCATCCCCCAAAAATGTTTGTCTCTATTTTTCAGACTATCAGATGTCTCAGATCTCAGATCAGCTCTTTCCCCTTCCGAGGCCACTTTCCCTTGTTTGCTGTGTGTGCACCAGCCCGATCTTCTATCCCTCTCTGCCCTCAAGTCCTTCCACTGGGCCCCTCAGAGCTCATGGATAGCCATCACCAAAAGTTTCTGGAGCCCTGCCTGTCTTCTCTGAGCCTTCCTGGAGCCTCTTGCCCTAACTCTGGAGCTTGACCCTGCTCTGAAGACACCACCTCCCTTCAGCCCACAAAGTGGCATCTCTTTTATTCTCTCACAGATGGCTTCCTTGCTTCCCATTACAACTTCCAAGACACAGTCCAACCTTCTCTCTCCAAAATCCCCAGCTACTCTGAAGTTCATGCTTCTAACTACACCACTCCAATTCATTTCTGGTCCTGTCCTCTGACAACCCTCAGGTGATCCCCTGAATCACGGGCGCTCCTGGTGCCTGACTTCCTATTCTTCTCTTTACCCTGGCTCTGAAACCCTTCTTGGCAATGACTCAGGCGACACTTGGCTCCTCTGTTTTTTCACTTCCTCACCTCCACTTCACTTTCCTTCCAGTGCCCCAAAGCTATCCTCACCGTTGTCATTCTCCTGACCTTGTCACCACTAATAAAAGCACTAACTCATAAAACTTTCCACTACCCTACTCCAACAGCGCATTCCAACTCAGTAAGCCTGCATCTTCACAGAGACCTTCAATCCAGAAGCCACTGTTTCCTTCTCCATTAGCCCCCTTCAGTCCTAACCCTCCTTTTCCGCCATCGTTCCAATCACTGTCCAGCAATCTCCCACCCCCCTGCCCCTCTCTTTCTCTCATATGCTCACCTGATTCAACCTCAACTCGGATTAAACCCAACCTTCCACCCACTCCATACCTCCACCTGAGCAGCAGATTCCTGTGGGAGAAAAATGCATACATAACTGGTCTCACAAACAATGCCAGCTGGTCTCACTTAGTTCATGATGACCACAGTTCTCAGGGGGGCCCTGCCCGGAGAGCCTGCTCCACTGCTGAGGCGGGCCCCACCACCCCTCAGTGCAACCATCGGGAGCTTTCTTTGCCGTCCTCACACTGCCCACATCCCTTCCTCTTGCTTCACTCCCAGATGAGTATCTTGCCTGATATTTTACTGAGAAAATGGAAAAAGCAATCAGATGGAAACACTTCCATCTTTCCTCCACCAAATCTCCCCATTTGTCTGCATCTGTCTCTTCCACCTTCCCTCCACCAAAATGGATAAAGTATCCCGGCTCCCATATAGAGCCAACACCTCCCTCCCACCTTCTCAAGGTAGCCACCACTGCAATTATTCCTTCTCTGTAACACCTTGGGCAATTTAACATCAAACTCATACACTCAAGTGTTCCCAGGAAAACTTCTTTGCTTCATCATCTTTGGTCAAGGTCAGGACTAGGCACCTCAGGCACCTGTGCGTGGTCCTGCAACTCCAAGTCCTCACCGTCTCTCGCGCCTCCCTCCGTTCCCGGCCTCGTCTCTGGGTTCTTCAGAAGAAAACTCCTCAGAAGACTCGCCTTCAGTTCTTCTGTCATTTCCCAGTCCTTTTTCACACCTTTTCTCAAGACCGTGGCAAACACCCATCTCCTTTGTAACCTTCATCACAGTGATAATTAAATAACTATGTAATCATTTGTTTGATGTCCATCTTTGCTACCACAATATAAGCTCCCAAGAACAGGAGACAGATCTCAAGGTCGCTGCCATAGCACCTCTCTGTTCCTCAGTTTTCCTATCTGCAGCATAAGAACAATGATGCACTCAGTAAATATCAGTTTTCATGACACAGTATCCCTAGTATCTAGCAAGTTCCCAGGCAATCCGTCAATAATCATTGAATCAATAAGCGAAAAATAATTCCAGGACTGACATATGGAGAAAGACAAAAAGGTTGAATACTTTTCTGCCATAAGGTATAGTAAAATGTGAAAAAGTGGCAGTAAAATGGCCTAAGAATACAAGGCACCCTGCCATTTTTTTTTTTTTTTGATGGCAGTGAAATGTACTCCGTATCTTTCTCCACCATGTTGGTACCTTCATTCTGGCGCCTAAGGTCCCTATTATCAAGTTAGGTCCAGCCTGCCGTTTCCTTCCCAGCCTGAGAGGCTCATGGCGAAGTCTTTGGGAAAACCAAATCATTAGTGCAGTTTCCACCGGCACACTGGGAAGGGCTTGCCACAGCTCTACAGGGAAACGTAAAGGCAGGGAGACTGTCCCGCCGTTGCCACAACAAAGATGTTACTAAGGAAACAGCCCCTGCCCCTCGCTGGCTCCTGGCTCCTCAGAACCTTCTCAGTTCTCCCAGGGACAAGACTTGAGCAGCCCCTAGAACTCTGTCCCCATCGTCTCCTTCTTCTCCTTGGAGAGGGAGAAGCAGGTAACAAGTGCTTACAGGCAGAAGAGACCCATGGAGACCTTGCAGAAAGCCTCCAAGGCTCCAGGTCCCTCCTGGCCATCTGCTCTCAGAGGCCTTGGGGTTCAGAGCCAATCCCTTCCTGCACCTCCCCCTCTCCATGTTCCTCCTCATAAAACCGTTGGCAGGCATGACCACCAGAAAATGCCGAGGTGCGGGCGTTTGCACAGCCCCGCTGTGACTAGTACAGCTTCCCCGGCGTTTGCCTGGAGCATAACAACAGCTCTCAGTTGCTTGCCGTGTTAGAAAGCAAGTGGCATTTAGAGGCGACTCCTTGGTCTCTGGCTGTGATTTTCCTCTCAGCTTGGCGGCCTGGATTACAGGGCTTTCAGGAGTCGGTTCAGCGTCACCTTCAGGTCCTGTGGCTGCATCTGCAAGAGCTCTTTCCTTTGATTGCTCCCATCACCCACTGTTTCCCAATATAATTTGCAACTTGCTTCAGGTTTCCTTTGGGGTCAGGCTGTCTAATATTTGGTTTCACCCCAAAGGTGCTATGGCCATCCCGGGTCCCCTGTCTGGGCGTGTGAACCAAACCCACACAGCAGCTACCCTGGGAGTGGGTGAAACTGCCCCATGTTTCCCAGCTTTCTAAAACTGGCCCATTGTGTGTGTCGCTCTACCCATCAGCCCTTGCTTC